CAGTAATTTACCAGCAACTTATCCTAACAACTGGGAGATAACATGTAAGTAACTTATTAGCAACTATGAATGTGGATCTCCCATTGTGTTTATAGTCTTAACAAGCCAACAAGTCTGTTTCTTTTCAATCCCCACCAATCTGAAATGTATTTATAGTTAATATACATTTTGGTGGCCGATTTTTTAAATTACATTTTAAGTATATAACACAAATACTGCTTTGTTATAAGAGAAGGGCAAACTAAGTTTGTTCTCATATGTAATGTCCACCCTTTTACTATGCAAGAGAAGTATTATGTTCAGAAATAGCCTGTTTATAGAGACACAACTCATCTATTGTAATATCACTAAGAGCAAGAATGCTGTCTTTGTACTTGTTTGCCTCTTGACAATTTAAATTAGGTTGCTGAATGACTTGTGTAGAATACAATGGTAAAGCTGTCACAAAAGCATGTTAATTAATGTATAACTGATATTTGACATCCATTGGTGAAAGTTATTTTTTACAGGGTTTCATTAAAACAAATAGATTAAAAGGCCTCTTTCTTGATTAATGCCTCCTGTAACTATGAGATGTGAGTTCTGGATGGGATTACAACAGGGTGGAAACAAAATTAAATTTCTATCTGTGGGTCATTCACAATGAATACTTGAGTAAGCACTAAAGTAATTAGTTTTTTCATACATAAAGCAAAATATAAAGATGCTTGTTTACTCTAGGGTAGTGACACCATAATTTAACTTTCTCAGGCAGTGCTGGTTCAAGATCATTTTTAATTGCCTGAAAAGAACTGAAGAGTTATATGCATAAGAATATATCTATTCCTTGTGTATTAAAAAAAACCCCACAAAGCTTGGTGGGTAATCATTTTGGATTAATGGGCACATTCAAAAATTCAAGATTAGGGGATGGATGTTTTCACAAAATACTTTCCAAAGGATGGCAGTTTCATGACAAAAACACCATCCCCAAGTATATTTTTGAGAAAAGGACCCCCCTTCAAATAAAGCTCTGGACTGTATTTGTTTATTATTTTTACTTTTTAAGAATGCCTCTGGTCTATATAGAGCCAGGGAAGCATTATAATTGTTCTTATTTATAACATAACCTGCCTTGCCACTTTACTGGGTCAGGTAGATGTAACTGGGAAAAGATGGTCCTTCAAATAATATTCAAGTTACCACCACAATTGAGCCCAAAATTTGTGTTGCTAAGTGAAACATTTGTTAAGTGAGTTTGCCCCATTTTACAATTTTTCTTGCCACAATTGTTAAGTGAATCATTGCACTTGTTAAGCTAGTAACATGGTTGTTAAGTGAATCTGGATTCCTTATTGACATTGCTTGTCAGAAAGATGCAAAAGCAGAATAGAATAGAATAGAATAGAATAGAATAGAATAGAATAGAATAGAATAGAATAGAATAGAATTTTATTGTCACTTAAATTTACATTAATCAGCATACTTTAAAATGAAATTTCATTGCATTCAGTTCTCAAAAGATAACCATTATGCATATACCACATAAACATATATGACAAACATCACAGTCTAGTTCAAATGTATACATTTACCTACTTGATGAAAAAAAAAATCCTGCGAAGCTGATCACATGACCCCGGGACACTGCAACTGTCATAAATATAAACCAGTTGCAAAGCATCTGAATTTTGATCACGTGACCATGGGGATGCTGCAACAGTCATAAGTATGAAAAATGGTCATAAATCACTCTTTTCAGTGCTGCTGTAACTTTGAAGAGTCATTAAATGAATTGTTATAAATTGAGACTATCCTGTATTGCTGGAGGCTGGCCCTTTACTTTTCAGCACATTGCTCTTCTATTGATTTAAAAAAATATTTTTAAAAATAAAGGAACCCTGATAGGTAGGTGTTAATGGCAATGTCACCAGCGTTTTCTTTTGTCCTTTCTGAGGGTATTGACAAAACACTCTTCCCATTTGCTGCTGAGACCACGAATGTGAGGATGAAGAGCTGTGGAAACATGCATCGCAACTTTACAACACAAATTCTGCCTTTTTTATTTGCATTGGAGCTTTTATTACAATTTCAATTGTAATTACAAACATTTTATTGTTTGCCATTGCCTACCTTCTCAACCTTCTCTATTGTGTTTTATCTCTTAGGTTTTCCCAAGGCAGTACATTCCACATTTGCATTTGCAGCACTCCTATACAGTGAATTTGTCAGGGCATTTATTAATCCCATGTTTGGCTCTGGGACTAATTACCCTGGTTTAAAGGAGGAGATGAATCGAGGCTTATTCCAAGTTGCACTATTCTGATAAAGAAACGCGAAGAAGGTTTCTAATAAAACTCATTTATTTGTTATAAAGAAAATAAAACACCTCACTAACTAAGAAAAGTTAATTGTTACATTTTTGAAAGTAATTTTTGCCGGCTATCTGAGCCGGACCTCTGGCAAGAGAACAAAGGAAAGAGAGTGTGAAGGAATGTGGGTGGATACGGAAACACGTAGCTTACTGATAAGAAGTTGGCAAAGCTACGGAGAGTCTGACAGTCCAGAAATAATGAAGCTCAGCTGGGAAATAAAATAACGCAGTGACATTCCCCTTCTTTGCCAGTTGAGCGAATATCAGTACATCATCAAATAAGGCACATCTTCTCACGCAGATACTCGAGTTGAGCTGCTGGAAGTGGTTTGTTGAGCATATCAGCAATTTGATCATGTGTAGATACATATTGCATTTTGACAAAACCTTTTTTCACTAAATGTTTTATGTTTTGATAACGGATGTCAATGTGTCTGGACCTAGAACCTGTAAAATGAGATTCAGAAATATAAACCACCGATTCATTGTCTTCCATCACAGTGATCGGTCGGATCGGGTGTGTCCAGATATCTGTGACTAAAGCATCATACCAAGTTAGAGAATTACATGCATCTGAAACACAAGCATATTCAGCTTCAGTAGATGAACAAGAAACAAAATTCTGTTTACGTACTTGCCAATAAACAGGACATCCATTTAAGAACATCATATAACCTGAAGTACTTTTACGTGATTTCTTATCACTTGCCCAATCAGAATCTGCATAACAACATAATTCTGCATAATCAGTATGTGTTGGTTCTAACAATAACTTCATGTGTTTGGTGTATTTTAGGTATCTCAATAATTTCTTAATACATGTCCAGTGAAACTGTTTTGCTTTCCCTACGTGTCGAGATAAAAGATTAACACTAAGTGCAATGTCGGGTCTGGTCCAACTACTAATGTATAACAGTGACCCAATGACTGAACGATAAAGTGTTTGATCCTCGAACTCAGGACTTTCTTCTTGTGTCAAGTTGTGAAAATCTGTTTGCATGGGTGTCTTTGTTGTGTTAGCATCTTTCATGTTGCAATGATGCAAAACTTGTTCAATTTTATCTTCTTGTGAAAGACTAAACCCCTTCTGTGTCTTTTCAATCTGAACACCTAAATAAGTGCTAATGTGACCTAATGATTTCAATGTGAAGTATCTCTGCAAAGCTTTGGCAAAAATTTCACTCATTTGCTTATTTGGACCAATATAAACAATATCATCAACATAAACAAGAACTATCTCATATGCATCGTTAGATCTTTTTGTGAACACGCACTCATCAGTTTCGGACTTAATAAAGCCCATTGAATTTAGTTTGTCAGTAAGACATAAATACCACATTAAACCAGATTGTTTCAGACCATAGAGACTTTTGTTTAGGAACCAGGTATCCCCTTCTTGCTGTCGGAATCCTGGAGGACTTCTCACGTAGATCTCTTCGTCTAGGTCTGCATGTAGATAAGCCGTGTCAACATCAAACTGGAAAACTTCTAAACCAAGGATAGTTGCAGTTGCTAAAGCAATTTTTACACTCTCAGTTCTGACTGTCGGTGAGTAAGTATTTGTGTAGTCCTCAGGATAACGTTGAGCGAAACCCTGAGCTACAAGTCTGGCTTTGTACAATGACTCACCATTTGGTTTCTTTTTGATTCTGTAGACCCATCGAGTGCCAATGACCTTTTTGTTTGCTGGAAGTTTTGCAGGTGTAAATACTTTTCTCTGTCCTAATGATTTTTTCCAACAACCAGTTGACCAAACTGCTCAGAAAGTTTACAACCAGTTCTCCCGAAGTGGTGCGAACTGGCTGAATCCCACCACTGAAAGCAGGTACGTTATAGCAACATTACAGAGAGCAAAGTCCTATGTACAAGACTGTAGAAGGCAAACCCAAAGTGTCCTAATCAAATAGTCAAGCTTAGGACTTCACTTTTAAATAGCAATAGCACTTAGATATATATACCACTTCACAGTGCTTTACAATCCTATCTAAGCAGTTTAAAGGGTCAGCATAATGCCCCCAACAATATGGGTCTTCATTTTACCAACCTCGAAAGGATGAAAGGCTGAGTCAACCTTGAGCCAGTGAGAATTGAACTGCTGAACTGCTGGCAGACAGCAGTCAGCAGAAGTAGCCTGCAGTACTCCATTCTAACCACTGCACCACCACGCCTCATGAACCGTGGTGAACTCACAAATACCTGTATGCGTATCTACAAAATTCATACAGGACATTCTTCCACTGCTTAGCAAAGTCTGCATTGCGGCAACCTGATGGAGAAGTACAAAAAGGAGACAAATTGCAAAGAAAAGAGGTCAAGCAAGGCTGAACACTGTCAAAAATGAAATAGTATGAAAAATAGGCTGTTTACCGCAGCTATTTATTTCCTTTCTACAACCCTCTTGTTCTTTTTCAACCCCCATTGAAAGAATAAAATGAGGTTGGACAGCCCATGAGAAAGGAGAGGAGACAGGGGCAAGAACTGGAAAAAGCTGCTCTTACATTTTTAAGAGGATGAGTGAAACACCACAGCCAAGAATGAAGGGGGACATTTTACATTCTATCAACTTCCTTCTTTCAATGCTATCACCTTGCTCACTATGTTGATGCAGAAAATTAAAGAGGCAGAAGTTTCAATCTGAGATTATAAATATTTACAATTATTCATTTCTTGTTTCCAGATGCCCAAACTACATTTATATTAATATAGCACATTTCCCATCCTTATAAAGTCAAAATGGCACCTTGTAAGAGGGAGAGATCTGTAAGACGGGCTCAGTGGTGTGCGCAGAATACTGAATGTCCATTGGGACAGAGAACAAGAAGCCAGGAGGAGAAGAAATAGAAAAGCATGTTCTGGAAAGGACAGGAGCTCTGTATGCTGCAACATTTTGCAACGGATGCCTCTTGTAAGATCGTTCTTCCCATTTAGGTCAAGCAAGGATGCCCAATTATGAAAGATACCAATATAATGTTGCTTGTTGATTTGGGTGCCAACTCTGGAAAGGAATAGAAAAGCTTATTTTCAGGAAAGATTTTAAACCAAGGTAGGCAAATTTATACCCCAGAGGCACATTCATCATCAAATAGTATCACCATCCATGGCTGTTTAAAAAAAAAGCCGGATAACTTTTTTTTATATATAAATTTGATTTATATGCTGCCCTTCTCCGGAGACTCAGGGCGGCTTACAATGTGCTCAGCAATAGCCTTCATCCTTTTGTATATTTATACAAAGTCAGCTTATTGCCCCCACAACTGGGTCCTTTTAACTTTCTGGTGAAGCATGACAGCATTTTTGGGAGAAGGGAGAATGGTTTCACATATCTTTTTTTAGTATACTGCAATAAGACAACATGGATCAGTTAATGGAGCAGTTATCCTCATATGCCCAGAAATTGGGAGTGGAGAATAGATGCTGCTCTGCTCTTTTTGCAACAGGCAAAAAGCATTCTTGCCTTCTGCTTCCTCTCCTTCTCTTATCTGAAAGTTCTGTCCAGATAGTGATTAGTTGATTACTATCACTTAATTTGACCGACCAACCCTTATCCATAAAAGCTCATGTAGTTTGTATCTCAATACTGTATAACAATATCGCTTTCAATGACTCCCCTGCACCCCCATACCCAATTCTTTCAAAATTAAGGACAGAAACAGAAGATCCTGATCCCTTGTTCTTGATATGGCTTTGCTGATTTCATTTTGTTGTTGTTGTTGTTGTTTTGCTTTATCTCCTTACCTACGGTAGCCTTAAGCATCCCCCAAAATTGTAAGGATATCTCTCATGTCTCCATTGTCTATCCTTGATGGAAAACCTCAAGATTTCTGCTCAGATTTGAAAGCCAAAAATAAATAGCTTAGCATGCAGTTCTCCCTACCATCGTGACAATCTCATTTAATGGGTCCTTTTAGTCTGCCTTGGAACTATAGAAGGCATGTCCAACCTACAGCCCACAAGTTGCATGCAATCCTGGAGAGCTAGTAATGTAGCCCTACCAGATTGTAAACTTTTAATAATATTATGCAATTTTAATATTTATATATTACCATAACTATTAATTATATATTAACTATATTTAAGACCATTCCTCTTCACTCAATACAACCCTGGTAAGCCAAAAGTTTGAATACCCATGTTCTATACTCTGTGCATAGTATGGACAAGGAGAAGAACTAGTCAGATAGTAGTTACAAATCTGAATTACTTCCACCCTTTTTCTAAATACACCCATTTCTTAATACATGCTCTTTATTTTCTTCTCTTCATGGAAAGAATTCAATTAAAAATAAAATTAAAAGAAGCAGAATGAAAGGCAGGTAAAAATCCAATCATCACATTAGAGAATGTAATGAAAAGGAGGACTAGAGATGAGATGATAGCAGTGTTCCAATATCTCAGAAGTTGCCACAAAGAAGGGGGAGTTAAGCTATTCTCCAAAGCACCTGAGGACAGGACAAGAAGCAATGGGTGGAAACTAATCAAGGAGAGATGCAACCTAGAACTCAGGAGAAATTTCTTGACAGTTAGAACAATTAATCAGTGGAATAACTTCCTCCAGAAGTTGTGAATCCTCCAACACTGGAAGTTTTTAAAAAGAGATTGGACAACCATTTCCTCTCCTCTCCTCTCCTCCTTGGCTAACTGAGAAAAGCAAAACAAAGCCATTCTGTGGATAGAACTTGATGTGTTTGACAAATCATTTGAGATTTAAAAATATTGAAAAACAGGTATGATCACTTCAGGGTTTTCATCTCCATAGGTGAAGCTCAAAGATTGCTAGAGTTGAGCAAATTCAGCCTTCCCTAATCTGGCACCTTCAAGATATATTGGCTAGCTGTATGGCACATTGTATATTTAATATTTTCATTACCGGTAGTGGAATGTAAATGAAACACTAAATCTTGTCAATTGTCAACTGTACATTTGTAATTGTGATTATATTATAAGATTTGCCAGGTTTTCAATTGCATTCAAAATCCTCCCTCCCAAAGACTATAGACTTACAATATAACAAATTAAATGACAAATTAAAATAATCAGTGTCCCCCAAAGATATTTATCTCAGCAGATCATTACAAATTAATTTCAACGGAAGAAAACACATTAAAAATAGCTTTAAATTAGTGTTTCTCAACTTCAGCAACTTTAAGATGTGTGGACTTTAACTACCAGAATTCTCTATCAGCACTATAGCTAGGGAATTCTGGGAATTGAAGTCCATACATTTTAAAGTCACTGGGATTGAGAAAAAACTGCTCTAAATCTCCCAATTGTACCTAAAACAGAGAAAAACAAATGTCCCTTCTACTTTGGAAATGCTGCTAATTTCCTTCCTCTTCAACCCCTCTGTTAGATAAATAGAGCCATGACCCATAATCTGGTATTTATCAAAATTTATTTATCTGGAATTATACTCATCCATAGCCATGGATGGTTATAAGCAGGGAATGAAAGGAACTTGGGTTGTTTTTTTTTAATGTAGCAAGCCTACATTTATCATCTGATTAAAAACAATTTGTTTATCTCTCTGGGAAAAAAAATCTCATCCATCTCTTAACAAGCAAAGACATTTATAAATAACTTACTATGCTTTGGCCGACTGCTAAATATAATGATTTAGGATAAAAAAGAAGGCTCTCTGATCATTGTCTGTTAGAGTTCCAAAGCCCATTCTTCATGTTGATTTGCTGTCGCTGATAAGTGATTGCTCGATGGTATACTGCATTTCCTCTGTGTGCTAAGTTGTTTGCAAAATGAACAGAGGACAGCTTGTCACATCAAAGGGAGGACTACAAGGTGAGGCAAAAGTGTATAATCTTTTGCCCTAAGTTTTGACAGTTAATTAGCTCTCCTTCAATTTATGCCTTGGTGACAGCTTGGTGAGAGTCAACTGAAACAATTTCAAGGTTAGCCCAATGCAAAATATACGGAAGAATTGGAAGAGAGTGGGTTCTCCGTTACTACCATTAGGACTGATTAAACAGCTTATTCTCTTACCTGGTACATAAATAGACTGAGCAATTCTGAATGTGGAGGAAAAGATTGTTTGCACAAGGACAGACAACTTGAGACTGACAATGTCTAGCAAGCCATTTTGCTAGGAAAATACTTACGTGGCACCATCAATCTCAAACTAATACACTAGCAAGGTATTTTCCTAAGCATTATCAATTTCAGACAAACTGCCCCATATGAAAGAAACAGTTACCGACTAATATTCCTGGCAAAAAGATATCCATTGGGTTATAAAGAGGCTGAAGCAGTTGAATGTCTTAATAAATATTGTATATCACACTCAATAGTATCAACATGGATGCCAATAGCACCGTAATGGGAGATTCTGTCTGCATTCTCTCCTCTGCTTCATGAACAAGTCTCATACATACCTGCAGCACCAGCAATGGGTAAGCTATTCAGTTAATAATTATATTACACAAGGATTATTGTATCTTTGATACAAACCAACAGGATACAAACACCTAGGCAATCTACATAACAAAATGTACCGGTAACTATCCATGAGATGTTTATGCTTCCCAAAACTTCTGAGATAGTTCTTAGACCAAACACTGTTTTGTCATACGGTCAGAAATGTATAATGTTAAGAAACAGTATGCTTATAGGTATATATTTGTATGTACGCTGTATATTCATATTTAAATACCACAATTTTTAACTGGGTACTTTATCAAGCCAAGCAAAATGACACAAAATAGCAGGCACACTTTTGAATCTGAAATTCTTAATCAGTCCAATTGTTATAAAAATAGAGGATCATATGAAGCAAAACAAATCTAAAAATTAGATCAGATGTTTCGGCCATAAGACGTGCTTTATTTAAATATGAATTTGTATTCTTTTTTTTTTTTTTACCAATTTACAAATTAATGACAAAATGGGATTTGGGTGATTCATGAATAAATATATTCAAAAGTTACAAAATGAGATTTGTTTATTTTATCTTCACCATCTGGGACCATGCCTGAATATTATAACCACATGGAATAAAAGTAAGGTGGGTTTCCACACATGTTTACCTCTAATACAACTTTCCCCAAACTGGTACTCTGCACATGGTTGGGAATATGGCTCCACATTGGCTGAGAATTTTCAGTATAGTAATATCAGTAAATCTAAAGGTCTAATTATTATTTATTGGTTAATCTTTAGTGAGATTCACAGCTTTGAGGCTGGTTAATAGCTCAGCAGCTCGAGTCCTAACCAAGGACCTAGGAACTGTTAAGGTATCGTCGGAGGATGTAAGCTGTTCCGAGTAAGGTGGTTTTTTGTAGAGTCAAAATGTTCAAGTCCGGCAAATTTAGAATTTCTAAATAGCGGGGTAGCCCTTTGGGTATTGCTCCGAGGGCTCCAATTACAATCGGGACAACACACGATTTCTTTTTCCACAGTTGCTCAACTTCAATTTGTAAGTCCCGGTACTTTGTGATTTTTTCTTGCTGCTTATCTTCAATTCGTGCATCACCAGGTATTGCAATGTCAATGAACCATACTTTTTTCTTTTCAACTATTGTTATGTCAGGTGTGTTGTGGACCACAGCCTGTCAGTCTGAATCCTAAAGTCCCACAAGATCTTGAGTTTCTCATTCTCTAAAACTTTCTCAATCTGATGTTCCCAGTGGTTTTTGCTGTACTCAAATCCAAACTTCTGGCACAATTTCCAGTTGTTGTTGTTGTTGTTGTTGTTGTTGTTGTTGTTGTTGTTATTATTATTATTATTATTCTACGTATTGGCCATAGTAAGATGGCGATCGATTTGGAAAGACCTTAGCAATTAGCCTGTCCTATATGACTGATGTATTCATGCCCTTTAAATCCTTAGAAGTTGTAATGATATGATTGGCACTTCTAGCAATGTTTTAATTCATGATGGTCCTATATATGCAATTTCATGAATTTATATGAATTTCATACTTTATTTTACATGTTGCTCTGAGTTTACAAAGCTAGGAATTGTGCACTGCAGAGAATTAATTCTGATTGGAACAGCTTGTAAATCTTGCAAATGAAAGAATCAAATAAAATCAATCCCTGTTAGGAAAGGAAAGAGAGAATTTGGAGCCCTTTATCAGCCAAATAACCTGCCTTTATCAACCATCCAAAGCCACATTCAATTATACTTGTTTCCCACTCGGGTTTTCTTACCATTTCATCTGGCTGATAAGATTCATCTGATATCCTGACCATAATCCTTGTTTAAAAGGTGATTACTCTTTCACCACACAGAGGTTGCTTGTCACCTTGTGCTCTTATTAAAAACAGAATTTTACAGCAGCTTTGTGGAATGTATCCACACACTGTGAATGTCTTTTGATCATGGCTGGGAATTTGATAGTAAGCCAGGGACTGTTTCTTACTGAAAAAAATAAGCCATTTACACTCATCATGAGCTAGACTCTACTAATGTTCTGAAACAGATTTTGCAACAACTGAGAAATAAGATATTTCCCCAGTGGCATGGTGTAATTTCTACCCCGCTTCCATGCACCAAAATGGTGGGTTGATTATAATTACAGCAAGGCAAATGCTGTTTCATTAATTGTAGCACTTTTGATCTATATCAGGGGTTGAATTTCATGTGCTTCTTTCATCATCTATAGTCCATAATTGGTTTAACAATTTCTGATCTCTCTGCCTGCCTTTCATTTACACTGTCTAATGCAGTGTTCTGACCTTCCATCTCTTCACCTACATAGCACAGCTCTTCACTTTTCATTAAATATCTGGATTTTTTTTTAAGGCCATGTGCAATGAAATGCATTTCATTTTACTAACTCTTTGTTGATTAACATAAAGCATAGGCAGGCCACCGTAACTTAGAGTATCTATTGTACTACGCTCTAGAAGAGCATTCCTTTCTTGATGTGCATCAGCCTTTATCCACAATTCAACCACAATTCCCTTTTTATCATGTTCAGCAAATGCAACATGGCCAATGAATACAGGTGAAATTGGGGCAATGGACTGCAGCACTTATCTCCATCTTCTCTCCATGCACTTTTTAATTCAGTGCCTGATTGTGATGTCTGCTTGCAGTAAGAATACCTCTGATACCATGCTATGACTGATCAAGTCTGATCACGACCCTCTCTTTCTCGATCCCATAGCAAACTAAATCTATGACTGCAAAAAAAAGGAAGGAGATTGTTTCCAGATCTAGTTTGAGGAAGCTAGTTATGAAAACAAGATATGCTGCAATGGACTAAATCTTTCCCTCATTCATTCATCCTGGCAGCCCATGGGCTGGATGCATCATGCTCAGGCCACGCCCACCCCAGTTCCGTGAAGAGAAAAAAGTCATGAAACGTCACATGAAGGCAACATGATGCCGCGAGTTTGACACCCATGAGTTATGCTATATACTTTTTTTAGATTTCATTTGCATTTGGTAATTAATAGTATGCCACAAGGAAGAAATCAACTCTACCAATGATATATAAACTCAAATGATCTTTTAAATCCCTTGCCCCACTTGCCAAGAATCCCCAAGTAAAACTGTACCTTCAAAAGTGCAATTTGGGGAACGAGCTTTTCTAGAAATGAGAAGAAAACTATCACTGATGATGTCACTTAGTTGGATAATGAAACATCGGCAAATATGTAAACTCAGAGCACATCGAGAATTCCACCGAAAAAATTCAGAGAGGAAAAAGCTAGACAGATTAATTAGAAATATAGGATAGAGTATAATGAATCTTAATTCAGAAATTATCAAAAAAATGTAGCCTCCATAAATGTCCTTTTAAATGGATATTTTGTCTCCTGGTTTCTTTTATGTTTTAAATTACCCAATTAGACAATTGGCAAATGCTACAGGGTGAAGATGAGCTTAGAAGATCCCCACATACAGAAATGTAGACTTTCCCCATATCATGTCCTTTCCTAGTAAATCTCTGTGTAGGAATACAAATCAGGCATTGAGATCTAGTACCAGTGAAGAACTTTGGTGCAAAGTATGAGGACGAAAATAATATGAAATCACAAAACTGATAAACAATTGTTGGATTTATTATTACTACAATGGCAATAGATGTTTAAGTCAAATCATATAAAATCAATTTTAGAAATGGTACTCATCTGGTATTTCCAATCAAGTAGAAACTCACCTTCTAGTAGTTTTGGTTTCCTGCTGTCAGACGTATTAAACTGCACCATCGCCTCAGTGCTATTTTAACTTTTCTTATTCTTTCTTCTGCTCATGCGTGACACAGGGTCATCACTAACATCTAAAAACAATCAGACAAAACACAACTTTAACTTCTCAGTCTTGCCACCCAGAAGGGAAAATGTTATGATTTGTTATTGTTAATACTCTGTTAAGTGCTATTTATAATTTTCAATACGACAGGGCAGTATTTCCTTACTGTATCTCTAAGCTTTTATCAAGACAGTTGGATTGGATAACTGTAGTTTGATGCATTTCTTTCTCAAAAACAGCTGCCAAGCAAACAAAAAGACATTATGTTCACGGTGCAACAAATTAAATATGCATCTTAGTGTGGTAGAAATGAGCAATATAAGGTAACTGCATTAGAAGTCAATGGCACTTTATTCACATTTTCTGTTCTTTCCCCTCCCCAGTCCTCTTCAACATCATTTCTATTGTAAAAGCTTCTTCACTGACAAACAGTGAGCTACCTGCAGAGATTCAGCTTCTTTTGTCCTCTTCTAAAAAACCCATGGGAAGCTGCCTACATTAGTTCTCTCCTCCTGTATATTCCCATTTTGAACAATACCACTCGATGAATGAGAAGTTAAAACATACAAGCAGCATCCCAGCCCCTGTAGTCTTCTTTCTCTGTAAGTGGAAAGCAGCCTCCATTAAAATAACACCTAAAACATTTAATAACTGATTGGTGTGGAGCCTTTACCTCCATCTTTCGCTTTTAGCTCTATTGGTGGCCAACCTGTTTTTTGCTCTTAGCTAACTGTATTGATCTAGAAATTTACTAGAATGTGATTATTATTATGGCCACCTTCTATCAGCTTCCCCAATAATTCTATTTTCAATTACTGAACAGAAGAAGACCCTTTGTTAGTAATTAAACAAGATAAGTAAAATATTCCAGCCATTAAATACTATTGTTCTAGGTCAGGGGTGTCAAACTCAAGGCCTTTGGCCCGCATCCGGCCTAGGCGTGCTTAGATCTGGCCTGTGGAGCCGGTCTGGAAATAGCAAAGGACTGGCCCGCGGTGCTTCTGCTAGCAAAAATGGGGCGCGGGCAGGGCAGGGCATGTGTGCCCCCCTCAACTACTTTTGGGCTCCGGAGTGTTCCAGGAGGCCTTCCAGGCCCAAGAAGGTTATAAAAGGGAGGGAAGATAAAATATTTTACCTTTCAGGCTTGCAGGATTCTGCTACTAGCCTATGTCAATAATTTATAGTTCTAGACTTCCTATGGAGTCAGTTTCTTGATCTTTCTCTCATAAGGTGATCAAGTAGATCAAGTAAGTATTAAAAAAACAAAATTGCAGAAATGTACACCTCCCTATTTTTATAAGTTTATAAAACCATGTCTGCGGGGGTGTGGTTCCGTGTCACGCCCACCATGGCCACACCCACCATGGCCACACCCATCCCACCGACTCCACCTGACCCTCCAAGGTCAAACCCAATCCTGATGTGGCCCTCAATGAAATTCAGTTTGACACCCCTGTTCTAGGTCATGTGAGTGGCAGAGACGGGTATGGAATGGAGGACTCAGCAACATTTCAAATCACTATCCAGGTGCCTTCGCCGTAGGGGTGTATTTGTTATTTTTTTCTGGATTTTTTTTTTCAACTCCAGCTGGATCTGGCTCATTTACAAATTTGCTCTTTCTTTTGCTAGCTTCTCCCCCTACATCAGCTGTTCTGTTCATTTTTCAGAGACTTATCCTGCTGGCCTTCAAAAATTTAGATAATTTTTTGTCCCCAATTCGGGTCTGAGAATAGTGCTGAAACCGATGAAGAACACCAGAGACGCAGTGCAGGTTTAGTTTCCTTTGATTGAAGCGCTCCAAGAAAAGGGGTCCCGGCTAGAAAATGCCAAGGAATCCCGAATAATAGAATTAAGGAAAGCTTTATATATTTTCACTAAAACGGATGGCGGGATAAGGCGGGATACATAAAATAAATAATCTAATAAACATTTTAGTATTGATCTGACAATTGTCCTATTAGTCTCTAGCCATCCCTATTTCTAAGCCTTGGTTAATGAATATTCCAGAAGTTATCTAATACACATTCTATTTGCTCCAAGCCCATCCCTATTCCTAACTTCTAGCTGAGGTATGCAGGATGTCTAACTCTTTGTTACTGTTATAGTCCTCTAACCACACTTGCATACTCTCTGTGAATAAACATTCTTTATTCTTTCCAGACAGACTCCACAATTAGAAGACATTCCAGTTTTCTTTCAAGTGCATGCCATAGCTTTCATTTTAGCAGATAGCCCATCAACTTCTTTCCAATATTCATTCAGGATTTTTTGGATTAGTATCCTATTTGAAGACTTTTTACATAATTTCTTTATAACAGTCTATCAGTTGGAAATATAAAAAGTTGTGATTCTAAAGCAGGGGTGTCAAACTCATGTCATCACGGCAGTGTCACGTGACGTATCGTGACTTTTTTCCTCTTCATTAAACAGGGCATGGCTGTGGCCAGCACGTGAGGCATCTGGCCAGTGGGCCATGAGTTTGGCACCCCTGTTCTAAAGAAATGTAGATAGGGGCAATCATGACATTATGTACTGGAACAACATGGAGGACTTAGAGTAAGGTGACCAGACTTTAACATTGGTAAAGCGGGACACTATTGTGGGCGTGGCTTATTTTGTGGGCGTGACGTGAGGTCATGTGACTGGGTGGGTGTGGCTAGCTGGTCATGTGACCGGGTGGCCATGGCTATGTGTATAGGGACTACTCAGAGGGCTGAAAAAAGTCATTTCTGACAGGTCCTTGCACTTTTGACTGGTCCTCACACTTATGTCCATCCTCACATTTATGCCCGTGCAGCATTCTTAACAACCATGTCACTCATTTCACAACTGCTTCTCTTAACCATGGTAATAAGATAGGGCAAAAAACGTAAAATGTGAGGACAGTCGTAAGTTTGAGGACTGGTCCATATGCATTAAAGGATACAGCAATAGAGAGGGATGAAGGAAGGGAAGGGAAATTAGAGTAGGAGTGAGGGTAAGAGAGGGAGGAAGAGAGGAGGAGAAGGAGAAAGGAGGAGGAAGTAGGGAGGAGAAGAAGAGGGTGGGGGAAGAAAAAGTAAGAAGGAAAGAAAAGAGAGAGGTGGTAGGTTTGAGGAGAAAGATTGCTGTACAATAAAAAAGATGAAAGGGAAGAAAGCCAACCCCAAACAAATATAAAGATATTAAGATAAAGAATGAATTGTTAAACTTTAAAGAATAAAAGAGAACAAATATGAATAAATAGCAATAATTAGAAACACACATACAAACATACAATGTATTTTCTTTGAACAGAATATTTGGCTGGTTCACAAATTTAAACAGTGTTTAGTCATTTCAATTAAATTTACAATTTCTATATTTCCTTTTTGCCATATTTATTCCTCATCTATTTTTTTAAAAAAACAATATTACCCTTCATCCTCATCTCTAATCTTAATCAAATTCAATTTTTCTCTTCTATTCTATATTATACCCTTTCCCATTGTCATCTATTTTTATATCCATCCTCACATTGGTTAATTATGTAATATTACAGTTGTTTAATATAAATTCAAGATTTTAATATAAATCAATTAGTTATATAACTACCTTTTTTGTTTATTAATCAATATGAACATGAATATTCCAATTATTTCCATGCAATCCAATTTCTTACAAATCAATTAATTATATTTACCAATAATAATAAACCAAATAATTTCCCCCATATATTCCTCCAAACCACAACTTAACCATTTCTGCTTTCAACACAATATACAATTAATAGTATCTCAATTATTACAATTCCCTAGTTAAATAGAGCTTTTTTTCTTTTGTGTTTTAAAATCTTGAACTCTCCTCTTTTGCCCTAAATTTCCCATTGTTTGCAGTTTTGCACCTACCTTTTTTGGTGAGGAAAAAGAAAAAGAAATCTCTCTCTGCCTCATTTTGTCACTTTGCAGCAAAGACCCTGCTTTACTTTTGCTTTCACTTTTTCAGCATAGCTAGGGGAAAAAAATCTGCTCCAGGAACTCTCTGCAGCTAGCAACAGAACAGAGCCCTGCACAAAACAGCTGAAAGCAAATCAGCTGAGAGTGGGGAAGCCAAGCTAATCAACTTGTGCTAATTAACCTATGCGGAAGCTGTAAGGGGCTGTTTTTTCTATTTTTGCAGGCATCGGTCTACTATTTGTTTTCTTTTAACACTGATCAGCTGTAGGGCGGCTCTTTGAAGCCCGGTGGCAAGAGTTTAAACAGTTGTTTTCCCTCTAGCCATCAGCTGGGACTCAGGAGGCAGCCGGGACTCAGGAGGCAGAATGAAAAATCAGGACTTTTTTAAAACACCGCAGGACACGGGACAAATTGCTAAAAATCGGGACTGTCCCGCCAAAAGCAGGACGTCTGGTCACCTTAACTTAGAGGCATCTTTTTAACCAATTTACATATTTTTATCCTCCTCAGTTTAATTTCACAATAACTACCTGAGGATACTTACAGCATGAAGATAGGCCATAAATGTAGGGAGGAATAGAAAATATTGAAAGGGCAAAAAAATATTTTAGACCATTCTGTTAATGAATAATTTATACACACGTGTTTACAAAACACTCATTATTGAGCAATTTAAAGCATAATGAGAGAGCTTCTTCATGTGAAAATTCAGAATGATACACTACCATTGGAAAATAAAGGGAACATTAAATTAACAGGGCAAGAGAGCTGTTATCAGTGGATTAGTACTGCTGACATTCAGGTCCTCTACCCATATTCAGAAGTTGTCAAAACAGCAAAATCATCTCCCCCCCCCCCGCTTTTTTTTTTTACCTTATGTTATAAATGCAGGCAAGATCAAGCTCTATAAATGGAGCAGATAATTAGCATAATTAATTTCAGCTATGGCAGAAATATTTGAAACCCAAGAAGAAAATTTTCTCTATAACTCAATGGCTCAAGTTTGTTTCTCTCAACCAGAACACTGAGTTAGCTAAAATGGCCATTTTAGTGATACAGAATTTGTGACGTCTATGCTAAAGATGAACTGAAAACACCACTGGACAAGTTTTCACAAGGTATTTTAACATGCGAAGAGACCGTCTGATGCTTTTTCCTAACTGCTTTTCTCAATGCGGCCTGAAGCATTTCGTCCTGAGAGATGGCAAAGCCTTGATGACACACTAGTTTAGATAACTGTATTCCAATCACATGTTCCATATCGAACACCTTGAGGGAAACTAGACTTCACATGGAAAATCTCATCCACGTCTAAATGGTTGTCTATGCTCACCAACCAAATGTCAGAAAATCCAGCTCAAGAACATGAATGGATTATTCATATTCATATTTCAGCACAATCCTTCAACAGGTGCTTCAAACAAGGCACAGCTACCTAGCCTTTTATGTGATCCTCCTATCCTCAACTGTAGCATTAGGACATTTCACCTATTCGGATTTATTTCCCTGTGGTGTAATTGCCTTTTGTTTAGAACAGGGCTCTACAACCTTAAATACTCAAAGAGCCATTTGGACCCATTTCCCACAGAAAAGAAAACACCGGGAGCCACAAAATCTGGGTGGGCATGGCCAACTCGATGTCACTCACTTCCACCAGTCACATGACACCCCCCCCAGCCATGCCTACCCAGCTGGTCATTACACCAGAGAACCAGTCATTAAAAAACACCAGGAACCACAAAATTCTGTTGACATCTCTCTCTCTCCCCCCTCTCTCCCTCTCACTCTGTATCTCTCTATGTCTCTCTGTTTCCCCCTCTCTCTATATCTCTCTGTCACTGTCCTGGCTGTTCTTCATCCCCAGATATCACCCTTACCTTCTCAGGCCAGGCAAGCAGTGACTGGGAGGGGAGGGCAAGGAGCGGGGCCAGTCAGCGGTGGGATCATCTGACAGGGAGCCACAGCAGAGGGCCCAAAGAACCGCATGCAGCTCTGGAGCCGCAGGTTGCTGACCCCTGGTTTAGAACTACCATTAAACGCAATACCTCCTGAGAGACGTCCCCCTCCTATTTTTCTTCCTCTCATTCCCACACTGATTGTCAATTATACTCCAAAGGTGCTTTTTCAAGAGGCAACTGGACTTTCTGTTTTTTCTTTGAAGACCTTTCACTTCTCATCCAAGAAGCTTCTTCAGCTCTGACAGTGGGATGATGGGGAATGGAAGGATTTATACTCCTTGCAGACAGCTGGTCATTTGCATTCTTTTAGCAAATCATTAAGGCCACCTGGAGGTTTATCTGTGTCATCAGGGTCACCTGAGTGTGCAAATGGGTTTGGAGCCTTCTTGGAACTGTGGTGTTGTTGACAGGAGATAGATGATGTATCATACCCCTCCCCCTCTGTTGATAGAAGGCTGTTCAATTTTGACATAGATGGCCACTTTGACCCTAACCCTAATGTCTTCAAAGAAAAACCAGAAAGTCCGGTTGCCTCTTGAAAAAGCACCTTTGGGACAACCATCACCTGGATGACTGAGAATCTCCATAGACAATTATAGTTTTTACCTCTCTGGTGGAATTGGTGGCAGTTCCAAGGACACCGGACTTTGTCTTTCCATCAGCAGGCTAACTTCTCAGAAACAAAGTAGAACAGTGGTTCTCAACCTGTCGTCTGCAGACCCCCAGGGGTCTGCGAAGGCTTGATGCAGTCTAATGCTTTAAGTCTTGAGTTAAGTCTTGATGGTCCGTGGCCATGGTCTGTGGCCACAAAAGGGGGTCTGTGATGAAGAAAAAGTTGAGAACCAGTGGAGTAGAACATGATCAAATTTCTTGCGAGGAGAGAAGCCTATAAAAGGAAGATCAGTCTATAAATGGTCAGAACTGGCTGGGAACTGTAAAGGGAAAACATCTTTGAGACTGGCCCCAATTCATCCCTATAAAAAGCAGATGATGGCTTAAAATGTTGCCAGCTCCTCCATTCCAACCTCTCTCCTTAATGAACCATTAAGAGGTGGAAGGGATTCTTGGAGTTGTTCTTTGCATGCTTTCCCTAACTCATTTGGGTCAGTATCAAGCAAGTTTCCCATAAGCAGCAAAATAGCCTTTCCTTCTTTCATAAGGTGAACAGATGAATGGTCATGATTATTACTTTAAGCACTTCTATTAGTAATACAGGTTGCCCTCGACTTACGACCACAATTGAGCCCAAAATTTATGTTGTTAAGTAAGACATTTGTTAAGTGAGTGTTGCCCCATTTTACAACCTTTCTTGCCACAGTTGTTAAGTGAATCACTGCAGTTGTTAAATTAGCAACAGGGTTGTCAAATGAATCTGGCTTTCCCATTGACTTTGCTTGTCAAAAGGTTGCAAAAGGGAATCACATAACTTTGGGACACAGCAACGGTCATAAGTATGAACCAGTTGCCAAGCATTTGAATTTTGATCACATGATCCTGGGGATTCTACAAAGGTTGTAACTGTGAAAAAATGATCATAAGTCACTTTTTTATTGATGTTGTATTTAATAGTAATTAAATGAATTGTTTTAAGTTGAGGACTACCTGTACAAATCACTAAGAACCAAGAAACCTATAGTATTTGGAATCAGTGCAGTTTGGAGATAAAGACAGCAAGGAAATACAGCACAAAGTACAGGTAGTCCTCAATTTACAACAGTTCACTTAGTGACCATTCAACGTTACAACAACACTGAAAAAGGTGTCTTATGACCATTTTTCACAGTTACAACCTTTGCAGCATCCCCGTGATTATGTGATCAAAATTCAGATGCTTGGCAATTGGTTCATACTTATGACCATTGCTGTGACCCAGGGTCGCAACTTTCTGACCAGCAAAGTTGATGGGGAAACCGGATTCACTTAACAACTGGGTGACTAACTTATCCACTGCAGCAATTCACTTAACAACTGTGACAAGAAAGATCGTAAGATGGGGCAAAACTCACTTAACAAATGTCTCACTTAGCAACATTAGAAATTAGAAACACTTAGAAATTTTGGGCTCAATTGTCATAAGTCCAGGACTACCTGTAATTGGCACTAATGTCGAGGGTATAACCTGCCTTGCTTGCATAGAGATGGAACCACAATATTGGCAAACCAAAAGGCAAGAATATTTTATATGTTATTAAACATCAGAGGGAACTAAATTCCTGTGGCTCTTAATTAAGAAACCTTGACAAGTGAATCAAAGTATCCAGCATCTAGCACTCACTGCTCATCATTAACTGGCTTTTAAAGAATCATAGAAATAGATAGAGGAGATGTAAATTATTTGCTACAGATCCCAAACTAAAACATATCTGACAAATGCTCTCCTTGGAATCTGTAGAGTCTCAGTCATCCAGATCATGATTGTCCCAAAGGTGCTTTTTCAGGAGGCAATTGGGTTTTCTTGTTTTTTCTTTTGAAGACATTTCGCTTCCTATCCAAAAACCTTCTTCAGCTCTCATAGGATAGTGGGGAATAGAAAAATTTATATTCCAGAAGATTTCCAGAAGAAAAAAAAATTGCAGACTACAGGAACCAGAAGCACTGCTTAGGTGATCCTGAGGACACAGATAAACCTCAACGACCCTCTAAAAGGATGAAGATTACCAGCTGTCTGCAAGGAATATAAATCCTTCCTTCCCCACTATCCTGTTAGAGCTGAAGAAGCTTCTAGCACGAGAAGCGAAACGTCTTCAAAAAAAAAAAAACCAAGAAAGTCCAGTTGCCTCCTGAAAAAGCACCTTTCATACTTTCAGCTGTGTTTGAGTATACCCAGTAATTATTAAATGGGTTTGGGGTTTTTTTCAGATGAGGGCATTCTACACCTGTATGCAGGCACTTTACCCAGCATGTCAATAAATTTGACATCAGATGTTGGAAATCTTTTGTCAAGATGCAGCCTGGCAGTTACTTAAGTGTTTCTACTACACCACTGTGTATTATCAGAAGCTACAGGATATCACCCTTTTGCACCTGCGTTTGTGTGATGGTGAGATTAAAAAAGAAAAAGCATTAAAGATGATGTAAAACCACAGCAAGTATGGATGCCCTTGTATAGTTTTTGGGATGAAAGCAAGGAGCCTTACAGAAAGTAAAAATAAAGCCCCTTTGTGCTATTATGAATGAACAAATGTTTTTTAACACTTTTAAAACCTTTAGCTGATTTTAAAGAAATTTAAGCAAATATTCTTCAAAGTGATAATAACTGGAACAAAGCCCATTAGCACAGCTAAATGAATTCTGCTTCAAGGCATTGTGATACATTATCAGTTACTTCCCTCATCCCTGGGGAAATATTTCAGTATAGCTGTCAATCACTTGCTTGGGTGTTTTGACTTTCACGAACTGCATCATTTATATTGATTTTTGACAAATGACATCTCTCTTTCTGAGCTATTATGGTTTTGTTTTCAGACCACATTTAATTGTTTGAGTATTTTTCTTCCTAAAAAAAAGAAAGGCAAAATGTTTATTCTCTGAAGGCTGTAAACAGAGATCTCAGGTCTAGTTACTATGACAACCCCACAAGATACAACAAGCCTAGATTATCTCTAATGACAGACGTGAAGTTTAAATTGCATATTCTGAACAAACAGTGCACTGTTGACCTTTTATTGAAAAATGGAATACAGTATAATTTGCATAATGTCCGATTAAAACAAGAAACTCATAAAATAATACGCTTTAATCATTACCGCTGTCATTAATCTAACAACCTATTTGCCCATGCTGAAAATTCTGAATGTATAAAAGATTTAGTTCGGTGACATTTCTGAATATTGATTGTGATATAATTTGAATTCAAATTTGCTCCACAATCAGAAACCAAAATAAAAAAGGTATTGGGAATATGTGTCATATTCAAATACTGTACCTCCTAGTTGAAGAGTTGCAGGCAAGTGTGGCTTCTCTAGTGCAGTATAGAGTGTACTATCACTTCTCATAATCTTGATGCTATCCCTCTGTTAATGCAGCCTAGGACTGCACTGGCTTTTTTTGGCAGCTGCTGCAGCACACTGCTGGCCCCTACATAAGTGATGGTCCACTGAGATGGTCAAAGGTACTACTATTGAACCAGGTACTGCCTATTATTATACCTATGCACATTCAACTCTGTCGAGATCCTTCTGAATCTTGAGTCTATTTCCAAAGTATTAGGAATTCTCTCCAGTTTGATGTCGTCTGCAAATTTGATGGGCCCAAGACAGAACCTTGAGGATCCAACTGTATGTTTTCCTCCATGCAGATGTAATTCTATTAAGGACTACATGCTGAGAGTGTAAGATAGAACATTGTTTTATCAATGTTTAACATTGCAGAATTAGGCTGCAATCTACCTTGTCAAATGACTTAATGAAATGCAAGGTTATTTATTTATTTAGTGTATGGCATCTACAGAGGTTATGCAATCACTGATATACAAATTTAGTTTAAATATAGCATCAACATATACACACACATACATATGCACAATATGATATGTGGACAATACAATACAGAAGATAATATATAAAATTAAGATAAAACCACAATAAAATCACCATAATATGGAGCCATAGAATTGCAATGGGATAGATGTTATAATTCAATATCTAAGGAAGCTAACCATCTAGATGCTATCCCTCTGTTAATGCAGCCTAGGACTGCACTGGCTTTTTTTTTGGCAGCTGCAGCACACTGCTGGCCCCTACATAAGTGATGGTCCACTGGGATGGTCAAAGGTACTACTATTGAACCAGGTACTGCCTATTATTATACCTATGCACATTCAACTCTGTCAAAATCCTTCTGAATCTTGTGTCTATTTCCATATTTCCCAAATGCTACCACATTTACAAGTATTCATAACTGAGTTGTGCTATAAACAACACCTCACCAAGCCAAGATCCAAACTATAATCAATATCTTACAATATATATATATATCTTGATATATTGTTTCATTTTTTTCCAACTATATGAGTGTTTCAAAATATTTTCAGTTTTTTTTAACTAGATGTGCTACAAATCAGCAAATAGAAGCCCTTGGACCAAATCTAACTTCCAAGTGGTATTTACTTCATCCCCAGTGGGCAACTAAGAATCAGGAGGGCGAGGAAGAAAGCAGACATATTGATGAGCATACATACATAGAGCATCAGCTAGGCCATGTTAGATCAGAGAGAAGACAAAAACCCAGAAATTTTATCAATGCTCCATTTTGGAAGGTATTAAAGGGCCTTTGCCCATCATTATCCAACTGCTCATATCCTGAGTGATGTTCTAATGCTATTAATTTCAACTGAAGGCTCTTTGTGTTTCCAGATGCATAATTATCCAGATGAGAGCCACTTTGGTGTAGAATTTAAGACACTGGGCTAGAAACTGGTAAACCCTGAGTTCTAGTCCTGCGTTAGGCACAAAATCAACCAGGTGACCTTGACCCAGTTGTTCTCTTAGGCCTAGGGCAGTGTTTCTCAATCTTGGAAGCTTGAAGATGGGTGGACTTCAACTCCCAGATGTTCTTCATATTCTGGGTTGGGGCATATATTTAATTCCAGTTCTTTTGGCATTCATGGAATCAAAACTGGAAATGTTTGTGGCATCCACTGAGATATCATCTGTATTTTTGTTTTCATTTTAATCTCATCAATATAACTGGAGACTATAC